TAACATAGTGAGACTCTGTCTCAGAAAAAAAAATTAAAATGAAATAAAATCCATTTTTTTATTAATTTTTCTGGGTATGTCCAATCAGCACCATGACACCATGGGTTGATCTGCCTGAAAAAGATGCCAGCCAGGAAAACGCGGCAGTGGTAGACAGCCTCTATGATGACCTGGGTTACCCAAACCCTCACCTGCTGATATTACTGCTTGTATAATCCCCTGTCCCTGGGGATGGGCTTCCAAAAAAGTAGAATACAGAAAAAAGTGGAGGGATGTCACTTTTTAAAAACAGTTTTAATTTTCGTGGTTGTGTGATAGTTGTGCATAATTATGGGATATGTGTGATATTTTAATAGAAACTTATAATGTGTAATGATCATATCAGGGTATTTAGGACGTCCATCACCTCAAACATTGACCATTTCTTTGTGTTGGGAACATTCCAGAACTTTCTTTTCTAGCCATTTTTAAATGTGCAATAAATTATTATTATTATTATTTTTTCACTTTTTGGCCGGGGCTGGGTTTGAACCCGCCACCTCCAGCATATGGGGCTGGCGCCCTACTCCTTTAAGCCTCAGGCGCCGCCCTAAATTATTGTTAATTACAATTTCCCTACTGTTCTACTAGACACTAGAATGTATTCCTTCTAATTGTATTTTTGTACTCCTTAACCAACTTCTCTTCATCCTCTCCTCCCCTTTCTAAGCCTCTGGTAACCATGGTAACCACTTATCCACTCTCTATCTTCAGGAGATCCACTTTTTAAGCTCCCACCTATGAGAGAGAACATGCAGTATTTGTCTTTCTGTGGTTGGCTTATTTCACTTAACGTGATGACCTCCAGTTCCATCCATGACAGAATTTTGTTCTTTATTATGGCCTTTGTGCGTATAGATCACATCTTCTTTACCCATTCATGAAAGAATGTCACTTCTGATATGTATTAGATTATAAAAACCTTGGACTGGGCATGGTGGCTCATACCCACAATCCCAGCATTCTGGGAAGCCGAGGTGGGAGGATTGCTTAACATAAGCAAGAGCAAGAGACGTTCTTACAAAATATACAAAAATTAGCCAGACATAGCAGTGCATGCCTGTAGTCCCAGCTACTTGAGAGGCCAAGGCAGAAGGATCCCTGAAGCCCAGGAAATAGAGGCTGCAGTGGGCTATGATGATAACACTGTGCTCTAGCCTGAGCAACAGAGAAAGACCCTGTCTCAAATGATGATGATGATGATGATGATGATGATGATGATGATGATGATGATGTCCATTCTTGAAAACATTTTTAAATGCCAACTTGTTCCTGACTTTACATGTCAATTCTTTTGTTTAGTACCCTGTTTTGCAGAAATATTCCTTTCTTGGCCAGATCCAGTTCTCATCTCAGGAGTCACTTTAGTAGAGAGGCCCTCACTCTGTACTATCCTGCATTTTGCCTTAGAAGTCCTTCTCCCATGTTGGTAATTATTTGCTTCATTTATGTAATTGTTTTTTTGGTTATTTTACCTATTGGATTGGGAAGGGTTGTTTCATATTGTTTAATAACTTTATGTTTAAATATTAACATCAGTAAAACTGATTTTTTGGTATGAGCATATGGTTTATAGAATTTGATCCCATGTAGACATTTTGGAATTTGCACAAAAACACCTTTTAAATATTTCAGCTCCTGTGGCTGGATGTGGTGGCTCACATCTGTAATCCCAACACTTTGGAGCCTGAGCTGGAGGATTGCTAGAGGCCAGGAACTCAAGAACCAGCCTGGGCAACATAGGAAGATGTCGTCTCTAAAATAAAATAATAAAAATAAAGTAAAACAAAATAACCAGGCATTGCAGTGCATATCTGTAGTCCCAGCTACTCGGGGGGAGAAGCAGGAGGATGGCTTGAGCCCTGGAGTTCAATACTGCAGTGAGCTAAGCCAACACCACTGCATTCAGCTGGGGCAATAGAGCAAGACCCCATCTCCTAGAAAAAAAAAATTAAAAAAAATTTGCCCCCTTCAAATTTGCTCCTCTGTAATCAGGATATGCAACAGTACCATCATTCCCCAAATTTTCTTGTGCAGCCCCTTTTGTAGTCACAGGAAAGGGGGTTTTGTTTCTCCTGTCTACCACTCTATCCCTAGTGCCTGGAATAATAGCTGACATAGAGTAGAAACTCAGTAAATATTTGTTGAGTGACTGAATGAAACACATACTGATGCCAATGAATGGTGGAAGTTGATATTGCAAATGCTGCCAGAATGAATTTCTTCTGGAGTGTGGCCCTTATTTATTTATTTATTTTTTTAACACAGAACAAGACAGAGATCTTTTTGTTTGGCTGACAGAATCTTAAGAGATTTTTATTGATGCCTGTAGAATATTTGGTCCCACAATGGAGGAAAGGGCTAAATAAATGCTTCAACTCAAGCTGGATACAGAAAGAGAGATTTTGACAAATTTCTAGGAGGCCCCAAGTTGTAATAATTTCCTAAGCCTCTGGAAATTTCAACCCTTTTATAACCCACACCATAACCACTTGCATGTATATGGTAGAAGGAGGGAGAGAAATTGTAAGGAGAGAGAGAGATGTGGTTTAACTTTCATGTGTTCTCTGGATTCCCTGTGCCAAACTCCAATATCCCTTTCTATTTTATTAATAATTTTTTTTAAGAAATGGGATCTTGCTATGTTGCCCAGGCTGGAGCAAAGTGACTATTCACAAGTGTAATCATAGCTCACTACAGCTCACTCCCAGGCTCAAGTGATCCTCCTGATCCTTCCAAGATTCATAAACTGTGTGTTTTATTCACCAGAAAATCTACCAGAAAGTGAATTTTCTTGGTCTTTCCAACTTATGTTTTTACTTGTAGAAATATGGCTGGTGCAATATTTCATGTCTGTAATCTCACTGCTTTGGAAGGCTGGGACAAGAGGATTGCTCTAGCCTAGGAGTTTGAGACCAGTTTGGGTAACATAGAGAGACCCTATCTCACAAAAAAATTAAAAACTTGGTCCGGCATGGTGATACATGCCTATAATCCTATCTACTTGGGATGCTGAGACAAGAGGATTGCTTGAGCTTAGGAATTTGAGGCTACAGTGAGCTATGATGACATCACTGCATCTAGCTGAGTGACAGAGCAAGGCCCTGTTTTAAAAAGAAAAAAAAAAGAAGAAAAACAAAGAAGGAAAGAAAAGAGGAAGGAAGGGAGGGAGGGAGGGAAGGAGGGAAGGAAGGAAGGAAAGAAAGAAAAATAAGAAAAGAAAGAAAGAGAAATCTACAGGAAGACCAAGTCTGAAGGTCTGGTTGTTTGCTTAAAAATTTAGAATTTAATTCTTTTGGAAGAAAACCTACAAAAGTGAATAAGATGTAAAATTACTCAAAGCCATTCTACTTAAGATAATATCAGCTCCTTAGCACCGTATGAAAATTTCTGGCACCTTTAAAGTCACTGCTCATTCCATTTTATTTTTTATTTTATTTTATTTTTTTTTTTGGTTCTTGCAGTTTGGCCGGGGCTGGGTTCAAACCTGCCACCCTTGGTATATGGGGCCGGTGCCCTACTCACTGAGCCACAGGTGCCCGCCCCATCATTCCATTTTAGATGTAAATTTTCAAATACGAGAATTACTCCACAATGGACATAAAATGTAATTGTTTCTTTCCTAGGGACTTTAGAATGATGAATGGAGACAAATCAAAGAAACATGGTCAGGTTGCAAAAGCATGTGCTGGACAGATGTCATGTCAGCTATAAGCAGTGTCACTCCTTATTTGCACCCCACAGGTGTGTATGCCTCAGTTTCCTTCCGGTTTAGAGACTTGTTACTTAAGTGGTTGGCAGTTTCTCTTTGGCTAAGAAGATATATGCCAATCAGATGGTGATAACTCATTCTCTTCGAAAAGGAATCTTTTCCTCTCCTTCCTCTTTGTGCCTCCAGAATTTTCCTGTAGCTTGTACCTTATTTCACTCCTAGAGTTGGCAGTGGCAGGGGTGGTGGGGCATGAGTCTTATCCACTTGTTCCCTGACTATGATCCCTGAAAGTTTGAGGTTAACTTCCAGGTTCTTAGGAGGGAGATCAAACTCTCAGGTTGGTTCAAAAAGCCTCTTTACCTAGCATTCTTCAAGTGTTTCACCATCCCTAGAATTTTCACTTCTCAAATGCATCCTTTTCTCTCTTTTCTTCTCCAACATTTTCTCACATGGTGTTCTTTGTCTGAGATGCTCTTTCTTCTTGTTTTCACATAGACAAATCACCTTGTCCTTTGGATTTTGGGTTGCTCTCCCAGGAAGACTACCCAGATCCTCCCCTCCAGACATGCTCTATAGTTTATGTATTTATTTTTTATTTTTTTGAGACAGAATCTCGCATCATAGCTCACAGCTACCTCAAACTCTTGGGTTCAAGTAACTCTCATGCCTCAGCCTCCCAAGTAGCTGGGACTACAGGCACCTGCCACAACACCTGACTATTTTTAGAGATGGGATCTTGCTCTGGCTCAGGCTGGTCTTGAACCTGTGAGCTCAGGGAATTCACCTGCCTCAGCATCCCATGTGCTGGGATTACAGGCATGAGCCACCACACCAGGCTCCATGCTCCATATTTTATTTTGTAATCCCGTGTCTGATAATCTCTTCTCCCACATTCAACTATAAATTCAAACTTCAGGGTCATGTCTCTCCTGTTCATCACTCTATGGCTATCATCTAATAGCAAGTCCAAATAACTACTCAATAAGTACTTCTAGAATGCTAACTGGATTCTGAACCAAGACAAACCCAATCTAGCAGGGTCGTGACTGTCTTTCTGAGAAAGACAGCAAGAGACACACTCAGAGGATCCTTACTGGTCCTAGTATTTGGGGAAACTGTTACAAAGCCATCTTGAGATTTCCTTTTAAACCTCTGCAATTCAAAACTCAAAGCAACTACTCCTCTAGTGTCAGCCCATGATCCCCATTCCTTTAGATTCTACTTCCAGGATTCCCCAGCATCCTGGCACTCAGGAAGAGGAGGCGATCTTTTGGTTACTGAGCTTCCTCAGGGCCCCATTCAGGTCTCTGTTCCTGAGGCTGTAGATGAAGGGGTTCAACATAGGGGTGACTGCTGTGTACATCACGGCAGAAGCTTTCTCCTTCACGGCTGTGCGGACAGAAGATGGGCACAGATAGACCCCAATGGTGGTCCCATAGAAGAGGACGACCACGGACAGGTGGGAGCTACAGGTGGAGAAAGCTTTCCTCCTGCCACCTGTGGAGGGGACTTTCATCACAGCTGGGAGGATGCGAGCGTAGGAGGCTAGGATGCAGATGAACGGGGTGGCTATCACCGCCCCTGCCACCACGAGTATGAAGACCCTGTTTATGGTTGTGTCTGTGCATGAGAGTCGCAGAAGGGGCGTGAGGTCACAGAAGTAGTGTGGCAGCTCATTGTTGCCACAGAAAACCAGGCGGGTCATCAAGAGGATGTGGGTGAGGGAGATGAAGCAAGAAAACACCCATGGACCTCCAGTCAGCAGGCCACAGAGGCCCGGGCTCATGATGGTGGCATAGTGCAAGGGGTGGCAAATGGCCACGAACCGGTCATAAGCCATCACGGCTATTAAGACACTGTCCATGATGCCAAAGAAATGGAAAAAGTACATCTGGGTCAGGCAGCAAGGGTAAGAGATGGACCTGCTCTGGGTTTGGATGCTCACTAGCATCTTAGGGACTGTGTCAGTGGCCAGGCAGAGGTCCACCAAGGAGAGATTGGCTAGGAAGAAGTACATAGGTGTGTGGAGATGAGAGTCTGTGCTGATGGCCAGGATGATCAGCAAATTCCCTACAACTGTGACCATGTACACGCAGAGGAACAGAGAGAAGAGAAGAGTCTCCTGCTCTGGCTTCTCAGAAAGCCCCAGGAGGATGAATTCCGATGCGCTGGTTTGGTTCCTTGATTCCATGCCTGTGGCTCTTTGGAAATACTGAAGGGGGAAGTTACAGGGAGGCTGGGTAGATGGTTTTGGAAGGTGAGTGAGATCAGCCCTGAAGTTCCTCATCATGATGACACTAGTTTATATACATATTGCAACTGGGAACATCCAGAAAGTGCTCATGGCAACTCATCTTTCAAGGGTTTGTTTCAGGACCCTCCTCTGAATAGTCCCCTTTCATGCAAAGACTGAGAGTGCGCACTGTGTGTGTACTCTTGTGGGAAGAACTACAGACAGAACTACAACAAATCATTTCTTGAGAAAGAAATGATATCTGAGAAGTATTAGTCAACGAAGCAGAAAAATTATAAATGAAACATTGAACTTGGAACACTTAGTAATAGGCAGGGCACTATGGCTCACACCTAAAATACTCGCACTTTGGGAGATCAAAGCAGGAGGATCTCTTGAGCCCTGAAGTTTGAGACCAGCCTGGACAAAATCGCAAGACCCCATCTCTAAAAGAATAAAATAAAATAAAATATTAGCTGGGCTTGGTGGCATGCACTTGTAGTTCTAGCTATTTAGGAGGCTGAGCAAGAGGATTGCTAGAGCCCAGGAGCCCAAGAATAGCCTGCACAAAACATCAGACCTTTTCTCTTAAAGAAAAAAAAAACACCTCAGAATCATTAATCATTAAACAAGGCAGATTAAAATACTAAGCAACAATGATATAGAATATAAGCAACTGTTAAAATGAAAACGTGAGGTTGTTATACTATTTGCAGAAGAACAGATACATTAATAATTTTGGACTTCCTACATCAAGTGTACATGATTAAACTTTAGGTATAACCACTAAAATGGTGGGCATATAATGTAAAATTTTCAAATTGGTGGTAGAAGTATCACAGAAATAAAAATATTTTGGTCAAACCATTGTAAATCAGGATAGAGGTTAAAAAAAGCAAAGAAAGAAAGAGCACTTCTAAGGGTCTATATTATAGACCTACTCACAGACTTGCATAAAGGTATAACGATTATACCATGTGTATGTACTGGGAAATTCACTGAGGCTTTATTTATTATGATTTAAGATGAAGAAAACCCAAACATCCATCATCAGTACATGGTTAAATAACCTCTGGGAAACTACTACTTCTTGCTAGCAACCTGCAGCAGACTGATCTCTCTCCATGCCTTTATTCTTTCTGACATAGGAAACAATACTGACCCCACCTATTCTCAGCTTGGAGAATGGGTCTACTCTGTTGCCCAGGCTGGAGTGTAGAAGTATTATCATAACTCACTGAAGCCTCTCACTCCTGGGCACAGGCAATCCTCCTGCCTGAGGATTGAGTAGCTGGGACTACAGGGATGTGCCACCACACCCAGCTAGTTATTTAATTTTGTGCAGAGACAGGGTGTTACTATCTTGTTCTCCTGGCCTCCTGCCATATCAGCTTTTCAAAGGCTGGGATTAGAGGTGTGAGCCACCTCTCAGAGTTATCCTTTTAAAATACTCTCTTGTTTAAAACTCTCTAATATCCTCCCAAAGCCTATAGTGTAAAGCTCAAATACTCCATCTCAAGGGCTCACTGGACTTACATAAACTGACCTCTGCCCCATCTTCAGCCTCATCTGTGCTACTCACCGTATTCTCACCACAGAGGTCTTCTCTTTTGTTTACACACACCTCTCTCAGGGCCTTCACACCTGCTATTTTCTTTTATGGGGTATATTTTCCATGGAGATATTTTGTTGCTGGATCCTTTATTTCACTGATGTTTCAGTTCAAAAGCTGCTTTTTCAGAGACGTTCTCTCTGACCATTTTCTTAAGTGGCCTTCACGCTCAAAAGATGATAGCAGGGTGGAGTATAGTGCTCACCACACCTGTAAACACAGTGCTTTGGGAGGCCAGGGTGGGAGGATCACTTGAGGCCAGAAGTTCAAGGCTTTGCTGATTGTACCACTGTACTCTGGCCCTGGTGACAGAATGAGACTCTGTCTCTGAAAAGATAAATAAAAAGAATAACAGCAAACACCCATCATGTTGACTCTGTGCCAGACACTGTCTTAAGAATCTGACAAATTTTAACTCAGTTAATCCCCTGAGTACGCTACAATGTACAGTTGTTATCCCAATTTCCAGAAGAGAAAACAGAAAACACATGAAGGTTAAGAGGCTTGACTGAAGTCACACAGATAAGGGTAGTATGTTATTATCTTCATAACATCGTCACTACACAAAATTATCTCGCTATTGTAAATCTCCCCCAAGTAAGTATAAATGCCCTGAGGGCAGGGCTGGTATTTTGTTGCTTGTTATCTCCTGCATATATCACTGAAGTTGGCATCCAGAGGGATTTAATGAGCCCACTGAATGAATAAATGAATTGTAGAAAGATCCATCAAGACACAAATGTGAAACCTGCATGTAGAGTAAGGAGAAGAAAGTCAATGCAGCTAACAGGTGTTTCAGGATTTCAGAGAAGGGTAAAACCAGACTGGGTTTAGGGAATTATGAGGGACATGCCACGGGATCCACGCTTAGGCTGGGTGGGATATGGAAGCGCAAGAGTCAGTTAACTGAACACAACTAGTCTGAGTTCTCATCTGTCCTTGCAGTGACTGTCCTTGTGGATTCTCTTCTTGGGATCTAACACCTTTGAATGGTTTCTAAGCTTCTGGCTTTGGCTCTCTCTTTTTGTCTTTCTCTCTTTTCCCCTGCACTTCCCAACAGTCAATGGTGCTCTCTATGTTTTATGCTACTTTCATCCCATGGCTCTTAGGAGTATCTGCTAAAAGTTATAGAATCACCCCCTCAAGAAAAAATACACACTTTGGTATAATTTTGTATGCCATTTTGGGAGTTATGGTGAAATGCCCTGAAGTCCAAGGTAAGGGTTGCTCTTAAAATCTTTTTTCTTCGAAGTCTCCTGGTTTTCAAAGCTGATTCCCAAACTTACAACTTTAGGCTCAAACCTGCACATCTGTATTTCCATTTGCACACTCAGTATCATCTTCCAGGGAACCTGCAGGAAATCATAACGACGCAAAGCAAGCAGGTCACTGGATTCAAACAGACCAGACTCAGATCCTGGCTCTCTGACTTACTGACTGTTCATCTCTCTAAGCTTCATCTTCCTTATCTTTATAGGAAATTTTATTTTATAAGAATCTGGGACTTCTTAGAGAATGAAATGAGTGAAGGACTGATGATGGCCCAGCATCACTGTATAGTCTCAGCCAACATTTGGGAGCACTACCTCAAGGTTTAAGAAAGGACTGTGACAAGAGATTCATCTGGCTTTGAATCAAGGACTCACCACTTATGAGCTGGGCAATCTTGAATAAGTTGCCTAACTGCTAAAATCTCACTTTTTTTCTTTGTTTGTCAAAGGTGATGATAATAATGGTATATAATTCATATATACCATTGTTTTGAGGGATACATTCATGAAAAATTCTCTGTATTAATTCTAACATAAATAATATGGTTATAATATACACTTCCCGCTACCTTTTCTTTCTTCCTGGCATGGAAAACTTAACATACACACAAAATAAAATCTATTTTCTTCTGGAGCCATGATTTCCACAAATGAAGTCTCTGTCCTACTAGACACGCTATATTTGAAATTTTTACTTTTCTTCCCTTGTTACCTCCACTGCCAAAGGCCATCTATCAATGAGTTGTTAAATCATCCACAATGAAAATTCTGTTTTTGTAGTCACTTATACTTACCTCCTCCCCCAACTACCCAAATCAACTCTTATTACTTCTAGGTGGCTAAATTCACTAGTCTTTAGTCCTCACTGTGTTCACTCTCTTCTCCTTCAAATCACCCTGAGATCTCCAGATGAAAATTCTGAAGTGTAGCTCTCATCATATCACTTTTATTCACTTATTCATTCACTTATTCATTCATTCATTCACCTTACTCCATTAACAATCACTAGCAACTGCTATATGTACAGTGCCAGCATCCAGCCTGAGGTTGGGAACAAATATCTATAAATATGCAGACCATGCCCTCAAGACACTTGAAATCAGAGATTATTCATTTTTGTTCATTTCTGTAGCCAGTGTGTTGTCTGGACCATAAAAAGCATAAACATAATTGTTCAATACATACATGAATAAGTAATGATTCCCCTATAGGGCCAGGCACTGATACAAGTTCTTTGTTAATTTGCCTCTCACAACAATCCAGTGGGATTGTTCACATAAGTAGCAATGGAAGGACAATGAGATTAATAAAATCAAATGAGAGCCAGGCAGGGTCGCTCCCGCCTGTAATCCCAGCACTCTGGGAGGCCAAAGTAGGAGGATCACTTGAGGTCAGGAGTTGGAGACCAGCCGTGGGAAAATTGAGACCGCCATCTCTACTAAAAATAGAAAAGTTAGCCAGAGTTGGTGGTGCACATCTGTAGTCCCACCTAGTTGTCAGGCTGAGGCAGGAAGATCACTTGAGCCCAGGGGCCTGAGGTTGCTGTGAGCTGTAATGACATTGCAACTTTGTCCAGGGCAACTCTGTTTGGAAGAGGTTTGATAGCATAACTGTACCAGGTTCAGCTAAGATGGGTAAGAATCGCCATTGAGTCCTGGGCTGAGAAAAGGGTGCTGATTTGGCTGGATAGAATATTCCAGTGTCTCTGAGATAATAGAGCTTACCCCTCACTAATTCAGCCATCCCTCAACCCCCTCAAGTCACCTACTGGGTGTTTTTCTTCTTGCTATCATCACTCAGGCATGAATGACATCGTCTCCATTTCCTTCCTTACGATGGACAACAAAGATGCTGACTCTGCTTCCAGGAAAGGTGATGAAGTTAGATCTTTGGGCCAGAAGATGCCTCACAGAAGCACAGATAGGGTGGGGGATATGTTGTAGGAACCCAGGGAATATTTACAATTTCTGGACCAATAAGAAATCAATTCTCAAGGTTCCTTGTTAGACAAATTGTCCAATTTCGCTTCTGTTCCCTGGAGAGTTCAGTTTCCTATGGGGGCCGAGAAGTGGCAG